TACAGACGACGGGCCCGATGGCGTCGTGGTCCTCTCCGTCGTGAAAATTGGCCGTAGAGAAAGGAGAGGCGAGGCCGGGAGTGAGGCGGTTCATCAGAATCGTCGGAGCAATGGATGCTCACACGTCCGCCCGGGTTGGCTTCTGCAGTGAGGCATCAAGTTGCGTGGTGGTTGACTTGCTCCCGACGAGCTCCGGCCTGTCTCTTTCCCGCCGTTTCCTCTCATCGCTCATGATGATACGTTTGACGCTTTGCATAGTAAAGCCAGGCTCACGTTCTCAAAGGACTGTAGTATCATGTTAGTCATGGCTCCAGTGAAGACCAGTCGAGAATGAAGACTTACGCGCAACCTTGAGGCGTCACAACACCAAAGAAGCAGTCGCCCGAGACCTTTTGTGCTGCGGGCACGACCTGATTTTGACGGACGGGAGTGATAACCACGCCTGCGGTGGCGAGTGACGCGCACAGCGTCGTCAGGATCGCGAGTGAGACCTTCATCTTGTCGTCGTCGGTGTTCGAGGAGAGGGTGTATTAAACAAAAAGGAAGGCTGCTCAAGATAGCTGCCTTTGCGTTCGCGCGAATCGGACCGGTTTCGTTGACGGGATTCCCCAATTCCAGTCTCTTTCTGATATCCCGCTTTCTTGTTTTTTCTTGATCCCTTTGATTTCCAGAATCCTCCTTCTCTCCGAATGATCGTGGAGTTGTTGTTGTTGTTACGGACGTCGAGCTAGCGACGAGTCGTCTTGGTTGGTGAAAGAGTGGCGTTGAGGAAGTGTGTACCGGCAGGTCGGCAGAAAAATATGTATAGCGAAGGCAAGGTTTTTGGATCAGACCAGCTGGAGTAGCAGACACGAGTGCGGGCGGGCGCTCGATAGGTAAAAAGAGAGAGGCGAGGTGCAGCTTCTACTGTCTGGGATACGAGCAACACACGGTTGAGGTGTGATGTAGGTGATGGTGTGTGGAAAGGATTAGACTTTGGGTAGGAAGAATGTGTGGGATGCTGGTGTGTTAAGAGTGAAAGCCCGAAAAGGTGTGTGTGAGCGTGCAGATCTCTTGGCGTGCGTGTGCGGGTTCGTGCGTTGTATGCGTCTTGCTTGAGGCCGTGTGTTCGTTGTATGGTACGGAGTATTGGTGGCTGTTTGGTGGTATAGGTATGGGAGGTGTACTTGGTTGGTGATCGTGAGACGAGGAGTTGAGATGGTGAGAGAAGACGAGGAAGAAAAAAGAGGGACACGGGTTTTGTGATATCGGACGATGATGGGCTGTGACGAAACTCGTCTCGACAGGGGCGGTGGTACCGGGTAGGCGCGTGTACCTCGGTTTTCGACCTCGTACACACCAAAGGCAGGGAGGGAGACTGGGACAGAGAGGGGCAAAATATGGTGTCGGAGACGAGACCCAGCTGCGTCTCTGGACCCATACCCAAGCCTTCTTTGAGTGGGAACATCTTCTGACTATTGATGCTAAGCATTCGAGGGACAGGGCATGCTCGACCTCGAGAGCTTGAAGACAGGGGGGGATGGTGACCTCTTTGGGGATGGAGGACCGAGATGAGCGGGTGGAGTTTCAGGGTTGAAACCCATTGCGGCGGTGCGCGGTTGCGGTGAGAGTTGACTTAATGAGTGTGGTCACTCTGGTGAGTCGGTTTTGATTTGCTTCTTGGGGTAGTGGTGGTCGGTTCATTTCACGGGAGGTCTTGGAAGGTGGTCGAGATGGTTCGTGATGGTGTTGTTGACGCTCGTGGTCGAACGTTGGTGAGTCGACATATCTCACAGTGCTTCTTTCCCACGGTCACTGACTCTGTGCCGTGTGGCTGCGGACCAGCGCTCGGAGAATAATAACCTAATGCACAGCGCGGACTGCACAAACACAACCGCCGAAGCCGCCGCCAGCAGACCGAGACTAGGACAACCAGGCCAGCGTCAGGACTCCAGCAGGGGAAGGGCGCATCGTGGAAGGTCTCCAGAGTCCAGCCGCCAAAACCGAGCAGGGCCAAGGAATAAGGTTGTGCGATTGAAGCAAGGGGGGAAGAATCGATTCGGTTGGACAGTTGAGGCGACGATACGTTGACGGATACGATGGACGTGGAAAAAAGCAGAGCCGTTGGCAGCGCCCAGGCTCCAGACCTTCTGGAATGGCAGCGGGAATCGATTGGATGGGAGAAGGAACGGCAATTCGGTGCCTGAACCCCTGACTCTTTCCCTGCAGATAATTGGGTGTGATTGGCTGGAGAGGATGGACTTGGAGGGGATATGCGACACGCCCGGATTCTAAGCCGCGCCACAGTAGATGACCAGGGACCACTCAGATGGGCGGGTTCACCGTTCTGTGGTGGGAAAAGACGATGGGTGGGGCTGTATGTCACGGACTGGACCGAGGGATGTAAGGGGGAAAGAGGGACCGGGTGATTGATTGGCTAGAGATGGGAAGAAGGGGGAAGGAGGGAGCTTAACAGGTCACGTTATCAATCAGTCCTTGAGGAAGGAGGCACCATGGTGAAGGTAAGCACGACAAGGAGGCTTGCGCCATAAGCAAGAGGTGATTGTTAGTGTGCCTGGCTGACGGGTTCCGACTTGCTTACTTAATGGAAGGTAGCAACCCTCCAACGACAACCCGAGACAGCAACGACAAGGTAAAACCTGGCTGTCGCAACTCCAACGCACATGGCGCACTTGACGGCGCGCCTGGCTGGACCAGGGGCTTCGCTGTCACTGTGGTGGTTTGGCTTTCCAGCATGTCAGTCCTGATGAGAAAGCCACTGAAAACTTCCCTCCCCCTTGACATGGATTCCGGGATTTTGGTTTGGGAGATCCCATTTGCATTGACTCTCATCAGCCCCCCTCATAGTCATCATCAGTCCACAATCCCACCCCGTTGTGCCCGTCAGCGATTCATCGACGTGATCCTTGGTGGTGATCTGGCGACTTTTCCTCTTGGGGGCCACTGTCGTTCGTGGATCACTGGCCATCTCTGAGCGCGGCGCCAACTTCAGACTACCGGTACCTTATCCCGTCCCTTACTGGATGCCCAGACCAGCCAACTCGACTTTCCAGACTTGACGGGGGGCTCGGCGCTGGGCGCGGCCTCCTAAGGAAGCTGGACGCGTGGCGGACATGTCTGGACGAGGAGGATCTACCTGATCTTAGGAGGCTTGGGTGAATCGCAGCCATGGATACAGGCACAAGTGACAGGACACGTCGTACCGGCACTTGATGCATCGTGACGAACCCTCGAAACGTGGCTGATGGGCCTCTGATAAGTGGGCTAAGTCTTAAACCACTAGCCCTCTTCTTAATCCTATCAGGCAAGCCGCATTTGCTTCGGTAAAGATACCACGGTACCTAGCATGCAGTCCTGACTGCAGTGGCCCACGATAAACGCAGATAATGCAGCATCCCGCTGGTGTAAGTCGCGCTCGTCCTCATCGGCCTCCGACGGGATCCAATTGCCGGGCAGCATCTGCCGGGACATACCCTGTCCTCAAAGCGCAATGCTGAAAGGGGTAAGAAACTCTCTCGTAGTCGTCGTCGAGTTCAGCTGAAGCGGCATATGCAAGTCACAAACCGTCGTGCTTCCCCCTTCAACCATGGCCCCTCACTATCTCTCCCCTTTCCTGCAGGACTTGCGCCAACGCACGAGCCAGACACTGGACGATTCTCTAGTCTCCCTCTCTGAATGGGTGAATGGATAGACGAGAATGCCTGGCTGACTCTCCCTTGCGCTCCGTCGCCCGTGTGTCTCCTGCGATGCGGCTCTGCCGCTCCGTTCCGTGGGTCCGCCTGTTCTACGCTGATCTTTTGATACGCGCCGGGAGGAAACTGATGTATCTTCCGCGCTTTTATCTTCATGCTGTGTACAAACGTGTCCCCAATTGAGGGGGCCTGAATACTACCGGATCGTCCGTGAGCTCATGGAAACAGAACGACCTCCCTTCCGGACGTCTTCCGGATGAAGGGTTTTCATCAAGACGATACAGGCACACGTACACAGTCTAACACGTTGAATATCTGCCCAGTTGCCCATCCCTTTCGCTGACCTGTCGAGTTTTCTGTGCCGTCTTGCCCGAGACCCCTCTGTCTTGGTGCGGTGGTGATGGAGAAGGGTCCCGACTCCTTGTTACACAATGTCTCGCTAGAGCGGGTTGGCGGCGGGTGGAACGACTGCATGGGTCTAACGGGTGAATTTCCATCACAAGGACACGGTAGAACCGTTGTCAATGATGCTTGGTGGCTTGTGTGAGGAATGTAATCGAGTCATTGGCTACGTACGCGCCTTGCGGTCCCGAGTATGAGAATTCGTCATACTTCATTCCTCGGCCGTGCTCTCCGTTGAGTTGAAGCGACGTCATCAGCCTTGGTCTGTGTTACTTCTGAAGACATGTGAGTGAGTGAACTAATACCCTTTGACTACCTTGATTCAGGAGAATGGGCCCCGAGACATTTGGTATGGTAAGCGTTGTTCGTATCAAACGTATTATCTGAAGCATTCATCCCATAGGGTGCCGAATATAACCCGCACACAGATACACGCATTCAATTAAGGCAATAACGAGTAACATGTCGATCTTTTCCCATTCTCATTATATCTACATAAAGAACATATGTATTAAAGGCTGTCGAAAAGTAATCGGGGACGATATTGACGCGACTCGTCAATCAATGGGGTTGGGTCAGCTCGTATCAGTTTTGTGACACAATTTCAGAATGCGAAATGCGAACTTGTATTATCTAACAGCTGTCTGGGCGATAGTTTGAGACAGTCTAGTCTTTTCGTACCTCTTCAGCAAAGGGCGGAGGTTGGTAGTCCTAACTCTCATCTTGCCATATAAGTGTTACTATGAACTTACACACAGGTGTTCATTCTTCAGCCCTTTCGATGGCTAGACTCATGAACCCGCCTACTACTCAAACAGCCTATTCTGAGCTTTCATGACTTCATACTCATACATCCCTTCTCTTGTAGATCCAACGTTGTGGCTTTTACTCTTTATTTTTTTTCTTTCATTCCACCATTTCTGAATCCAATGCGTGTTTCGCGAGACACTCCATAACTCTTTTGAAACGATGTGAAAGCGGGTCGAGCGAGCCCATCTCATCGACGCTTCGCTGGTAACCGTTCTCTAGGATATTCTTTGATTCCTCCCACTTACCAAGTTTGTACTTGATGAAGCCCAGATGATATACGCAGCTAAGTACAAATTTTCCAGTGTCGCCATGTATGCCTTGAAACAACTGAAGCGCGTGGGCGATACTCTCTTCTGCGTCTTCGAACAACTCTGATTCAAGCTGTATAATGGCCAAATTCAGAAGTGCGTTGGCTTCCTCGTTCGACCTGGGTTGAGATTCTCCAGAATTGCTGCACAGGCGCACAACTTGGCGCTGGGTATCTATAGCTTCTAGGTGGTGACCTTGTTGATATAAGGCAGTCGCCAGCATGCCCAATACATTAAGCTGGATACTAGATGCCTCGAGTTTATCCAACATATTGGATAGTAGTAGCTGACGACAGATTCTCTCTGCCTCTTTATATTTCCCCTGTGAGGCAAACGTGAAAGCCACTTCGAAGACAGACATAAGATTGGCGGCTTTACCGGATGCTAACGCCTCGTCCACAAGCTCAAATGCCCAAAAGTCTGTCTTTTCTTCAGCTTCTATGTCGCCCAGCTTGTGAAATGCCGTGCCTAAGTAAACTATCAGGCATGCTTTTTGCCTGAGGGGCAGAGCATGGTCACCAACCAGCAAGTCTCTTGCTTCTCCGTAGTCTCCTAACTTAAGAAACAAGCTAACAAGGTTTTCTATCGTCAAAAGCTTGGTTTCACTATTCTGAGGTAGGATGGTAACTAGCTCAATGAGGATTTGCTTCGCTTCTTGGTTGCGGTTGAGATGTTGAAGAATCGTTGCCTTGAGCCGTTTTGCTTCAAAATAGTACTCTTCCTGCTGATCATATTCTTTTGTTTCCAAGGCTTTCTCAACGTAGTCGAGTGCGAGCCTATGCTGGTCAACAAAGCAGTAGAATGTTGCCATGCTGTGCCTAATCATGAAGATCGAGGCGTTGCCCAAGGAGGGATTTCTTGCATTTGCCGCTAATAAAGCTTGATAATGAGAAATGGTCTTGTAAGAGAAAGAGAAAGTCTCTCTAGAAGCCAAGAAGAAGTCGTTCAGCGTTGCTAGCGCCCTTTCGAAGAACCACCTTGCGGTGCCCTTCCGCTTGAGCCAATCTGCGGTTGCCAACTGAACGAGACGATGGATGCATAAGGTTCCATCTTTGTTCTCCTTGATGAACGAAAAAGCCTTGAGAATACCTAGAGCTTGCTCGAGAAGAATCGAACAAGCCCCATCTCGCTCCAAAGTTTCTAGACTTTGGTCTGGATCTCCGAAGTATTCATTGACGTGGTACTTAATCGAGTCGCAAATGTCTTCCCTGGAGTCGTCTTCAAAGTCTTTTGAGGTTAGGAATTTCGCGTTGAAATCGAAATACGCTTTGTAATGTCTGGCTTCGCATTGTCCTGGTGACGATCCATTGTCGTCGCTTTCATTGTCGTCGCTTTCATTGTCGTCGCTTTCATTGTCGTCGCTTTCATTGTCGTCGCTTTCATTGTCGTCGCTTTCATTATCGAATTGTTTCTTTTCGCGACTTACTTCCAAGTACATGTAGATAGTCATGAACTGCCTTTGAATCGCTTGACGATCAAAGAAAGCCATCATCGACAAGATATCGGCCGCAAGTGGGTTCCTTTTCTTGATATGCTCGAACGACACCACCCATGTCGCCATTACAGCGTGTGGAACGTCTGCGTCTCGACCAACGGCTTCAAAATTCCCACCCAGTAGCTGAACTTCGACACCATCGCCCTTACTCAGAATAACAAGATATTGATGTAGGCTCATGCAATTTTCATGCATAAAAGCTGCAGCTTGGGCAATAGCGAGTGGTAGGTTTTCAAGGCGGTTTGAAAGGACGGTAGCGGCATCCATTGACAGCGAAGAGTCTCCAGCTATCTCGCGAATCATTTGAAGCGACTCTCCATCGCTCATAGGTCCAATCTCCACTAATGGTTGGCCTGGAACAAGTCTCGATCCGGCTTCTTTGTTCCGTGTTGTAACGAGGATCGAGCCATTGCCGTATTGGGGAATGAAGCGGGCCATGTTGCTGTTACCCTTGTTCGATTCGACGTCAGATGAACTGGTGTTGTTGGGTTGAGTATGATCATTAAAGAACAGCTCGGTATTGTCGGCATTGTCGAGAACCAGAAACCAGGGGCCAGTCTTTTGCCGCTCAAACCAAGATTTTACGAGCGTTAGCACGTCGACGTTAATGTCACTACGACCGGCAATGTTGCATTCTTCCGCAATCTCAGAATAGGCTTGACGGAACCGATCTGAATCACTGGCGTGTACCCAGAAAACAGAAATTTCAGGATGGGCCTTGCGTAGCCAGTAGGTATACGCAATGGCGATTTGAGTCTTTCTACGCAGTCTTAGCGAATTGAACCTTTTGAGTGGCTTCCTACGACTTACCCAATCCCTCCGAGGCCATAAAGACAAACTCGAGATCTAGCATCTTCAATGTCGTCCTCAGGACCATGACAAAATTCGCTCTTAAGACGTGTAAAGATGTCGGATCGTTCGACGAAACTCTTGTTTTTCGCATATGGGACAAGAACTGTTCGCATTCATCAATATTGAACTCATCTTTGAAGTCCCTCTAGCTACGTACATTTGGATGCCGTCTTCTTTGGCGGGTTTGTAGACCTCTTCTCATTTTGCTCCTCAACTGCTAGAGGTGGCGTGCTTTGACGTGGTAGTACAGAGACTTTCCGTTCAAACTTCTTGATCCAAGTACGAAGCTCATCGCAAATATCGATAAATCCAGAATCTTCAGGACTGCTGAACTTCACCATGGTATGATGCGTCCCATGTATTCCAATGGCATCTTTACCTGGGAAGATGGCTGAGTGTTGAGGAACGACCTGATATCGTTGAGGAAGATTAGTCATTAGCATCATTGCAGTTGGCCAGGTCAACTAACCAGCCCAATTCCGGGAAGAGGCAGCTCCTCGTAGAAGCACGTAATCTGAATAGTGCCGACTCCCGCTTTTGTCTGGTATTGTGTCATGTTGTGAAAATTGTCCTGAATCTCCGCGAGAACCTCCGACTCAGGTCTGAGAACGCCGAGGATTTCGGTGTTTGTCTGCTTTAGCACTCCGACGGATTTTCCAAGTCGTTCTGCCCACACCGCAAGGGCTGAGCCGTGGTGCGGTGTACCGAGGAAGAGTATACCTCGGGTCGCTTCAAGGACCTCTTTAAGGTGTTCTCTTGTGTGAGAGCGGACAAGAGCCTGTCGGAGGATGAGTTTAGCATGACAGTACTAGATTTCGGCTTTCTCTTAGCCTCCATGATGGCGAACGCTTGGGTGACACGTACAGCTTGACAGACCAGTCCACCCAGGCTGTGACAGACAAATATGATGGGACGCGCAGACTAAGAACGTTAGAAAACCGCTCTTGATAACGGCAAACAGAACGACCCACGCTGTCAGTTCGATCTCGAAAGTTCGTAAGTCTCTTCAAAAAAGTCGCCGCATGGTCTCGAATGTGACTGACTGAGACCATCTCGGTAGCCTTGGCCACATCTGCGTCGTAGCCGTACGCCAAAACTCGAGCGTTCGGTATTTCGGACGGGAGCAAAGCTTTGGGCCAAGGCTCAGATGCCTTGTCTGATGTCCAAGTCTTTTCGCGATGACCTTTCAAGCCATGGATGAAGACGATACTATCGAGACATCTATTAGCATACGCGATGGTTCATTCCACACCGAGAAATGCTAACTCCACAGCGGCGTTTCCCTCGGAGGGATCGTGCAACACGCTCATGCCTATTGGACTAGACGAGCTTGTAGTCAGTTCGTATGCCCCACGTGAAGCCATGGTGTTCGATCCATGTAGGCTTGTCGACGGGGCTGGAGGAAACACATCGGTCGGAACATTGGGCGCCTCCTCCTGCGCGTCATTCCTAGGCCGCTTGTCGGGTTTGTCGCGGTCCTTGCGCCAGTCTGTCTGAAAAAGACGCTTCATTGGTACAACGATGATGACTTGAGGCTTTAGTAGCCTGAAATCTCATGAAACTCGGGTCACTTGGGATTCAAGACGAAGTGAAAATAAACGTGAAAATGGGAAAAATGTAAATGATGAGATGTCTCAGCCGCATGAAAGGGGCATAGACTGACGAGGGCCCCTGTCGATTCATTGAGGCACAGCCTGATCACGCGTGACCAACATCTTTCAACCAATCAAAAAGGCACCTTACTTTTGGCAGATTAAGTTGCAAAAGCAAAGAAAAATCACGTTTTTCAGCTTTCTACGTGAGAGAAACTCCTCATGCAGTCAAGTATCCCGAAACTAGGAGCTCATCATCAAAACACTCTGCTATTGGGACACCAGTCTCATAGAACCGAGCTTTATTCAACACCTGATTTCTTGCGAAGACTAAGCACTTACAGTAGCTTCCTTTTACTAGACGCATTCTTCAGCTCGAGACTGGACGCTTCGGATCTTGCCCTTTTAAGGAAACTCTTATGGTGAATCGAACCTGTGGGTATGTGGCAAGCTGTCATTCCTTCGTTCGCTCTTCAAGCATCTACTCTTCATAGACCAGGGGTTGGGTACCAATGTAGTACCCACGAAGGGAATACCATGCCAGGTATTGTCTGCTCGCTCACTAAGTCAGTATATTTGTCGTTCCCGCCGTTATCGTGAATTGCGCGGAGTGGAGTGCTGTCGAGTGGGGCGTTGTATGTGGCGATTCATCTAGTTCCGGAGACCTCCCTTAGACCTGGCATCGTTGAAGAGAGGATAAATCCAAGTTTCGACAGCGGAGCGTCCGTTACAATCCACTAGGCTAAACTTAGTTCTCTCTTGGCAATGTGATTTTGCCGCGATCTGAAGAACGTTTAGGTGCAGTTCCTAGATCAACGTAGATCCTCGGACCTTTGGTTGAAGCGTTCATTCCTTACTCTTTCTATACATAGTTAAAAACCATGTACGGTGTGAATCAATGCTTGGAGAAATGGCTCAAACATCAGCCTCATAAAGCTTCAGCGCTGTCAAGCTGGAAGACGGGAATCTTCAGAATGGCTGCATTCTGAGTATCGACGGAGAGCCGCTCGGATCCGATGGAACAACACACGGAGATTGATAAGGAGCCCCATCGCGGGCCGCATTTACTCAAGAGTTAGCAGAAAAAGCTTGATTTAACAAGCCAAATCCCTCGGTTGCCACAATTAGTGGGCCAAAACAACGGTAAAGATCGGTATGCATACCGGAACTACAAGCTCGATTTGGTCAACGTTCCTTTCTCCATCATTGCACTTACCGAGGCCCTTCTTCATGCATTTGCATTGGATAGAAAAGTGCCGACCCTTTGGTGAGTACCTCTAGCTCGGTTTTTCGTCATGTGGCGTGCAACGGGACGGATCTGAGATCCTCTGTGACCTCTAGGAAGCAACTCCTTCACACAACTCCAGTAAGTTCGAGATTACACTCGGTGATATCGGTCGGAAAGGCCTCTTCTAAAGTCTTAGTCGGCTCTTGAGTCAGGAAAATGAAAATTGAGAATGCAATTCATGGCAGAAAATACCGAAAGATGAGAAAAGGGGGGGACGAGGCAAGGTAGATCATTGGACTGCCAGTCTTGACTACGATAGACTTTGGGATATAAAATGCTGATTTTCCTCCCGCAAATATACTCCTTCCGCTCATTACCTCTTCACTCTTGAATTGCATCACTTGTCTTGCCAGAGAAGCCAAAATGTCCTCCACTTCTTTGAAGTTTCTGGTTTATGGCTGTGCAGCCACCATGGCCGTGGCAAACTCACTGCCTTCATCGAACTCGAGCGCCACGAGAGCAGCTGTCAAGGAATTCCCTGAGTGCACCTCGTTGCACCAGAGAAAGTCCTGGTATGTTTTATTGGCTTCGGATCCCTTGCTTCTCTAACAAGATCCTAGGACTGCGATGACAACCACCGAGAAGAAGGCTTACATTGACGCTGAGCTCTGCTTGATGAACAAGGCCCCCAAGTTGGGCGTCACCGGCTCGCAGAACCTTTGGGATGACATGATGTACGCCCACATCTACCAGGCCAACGTCATCCACAATGACGGCCCATTCCTGCCCTGGCACAGACTATACAGTAAGTCTCATTTCGTTCTCACGGCTGAGGACAAGCAATAACGATCAACATCGCAGTGCGTGTCCATGAAGTCTACCTCCAGACTGAGTGCGGCTACGAGGGAGGCCAGCCCTACTGGAACGAGCTGGAGGACGCCGAAGCCGGTTTCTTGAACCAGTCCACCGTCTTCGATGCGGAGACCGGATTCGGAAGCTTCAAGAATGGCGACAATGGCTGCGTTGCCGATGGGCCGTTTGTAAACCTGACGATGCACTTGAACCAGACCAGCAGTGATGCGAACTTCTGCTTGACCCGCGATCTCGACCAGGACAGCTTCTACCAGGCCAACAGCACCTACGTCAATGAATGCATGGCCATCGATACCTACGTCGACTCGTGGAACTGTTGGGGCACGGCACCTCATCTTGCCGGTCATATGGGTGTCGGCGGTACTGTGAGTCAAAACCTCATCTTCGAATACACTGGCGTATCTTGACTGACTCTTGCGACAACTAGATGCTGGATGTTGTCTCCAGTCCTGGTGACCCTTTGTTCTTCCTTCACCACACCAACCTCGACCGATTGTGGTGGGAGTGGCAATCCGTCAACCTCACCGCTCGTCTCAACGAGATTGGAGGGCCTGTGGTTGCTTCGGATGCCTTCCTCACGATGTCCAACCTCGATTACCCCGGTGCTGACCTCCTGGACTACAACGGGGAGAACGGCGGCAACGTGACCACCATGGCTCACAACCTTTGGACTGCGGGACTATTGCCCAATGTTACAATCGCGGATCTGATGGATATTCGCGGCCCTATCAGCTGTGCAATCTACATCTAAGTAGACTGCAACATGCTCGTGAGGTTGAAAAGGCGGCACGGCTAATGCTTCATGCTGTGGGATACCGGTATATGATGTGGGGGCCGTACCACACATCACCTTACATGGAGCTTTGGGTCTATTGATCTCTTTCATTCCCCCATAACCAAGCCTACGAAACTGCATGGTTATGGATACGCTCCTCAATCAAGGTACTTGCAATACCTCACTGGCTTGACTTTCTTCTATAGATATTCAAAGTCGGACAACGGCAATAGACTGTACTTACTCTTTCAATGACTATGTCTGTAATGCAACTCTTTTTACTCGCCTCTGAGAGGAATTGTGAGTCTTTTTCGATGTTTGAATCTGGGTTTGTGCCCTGATGTATTGAGACAAAGAAAGGAGACTGGGGTGGCACAAACCGTGGCTAACAACCCACCGAATATGGGACCGTCTAGTGGCTTTAGTTATTTACAGGACTGCGAATGGACTCCATCCAACACGAGCCACCTTAGCCCCCATCAAAGCAACAAGAGAAAGGACATAGATAAGACCAGTGAACAAAATCAACCCCCAATATTCCCCGTTTTGCGCAAAAATGATCTCTCCAGCTACCGGCACATCGAAAAGGCAAGCAAAGGAGGCCGCCGTATAAGCCGTCGCATAGTACCGCCCATAACTCTCCGTCTTGCAGAGTTTGCCGATACAAACCGGGCTGATGCTGATGTTATTCCCGCTAGCGAAGCCAAACAGGACCACGAAGACGACGATGCCCGCCATAGAGGAGCCCGCCGGCAGCCACACGGCCAAGCAAGCGACGATGCTCAGCACAAGAGCCAGGATATTGGAGTTGAAAGGCCCGGCAAAGTCACCGAACCATCCTGCCAAGATACGTCCAGCTACACTTCCAGCATTCAGAATCGTAGGGATTTGATACGCAAAGTCGATATCGAAGCCCTTATGAATGGCATAGCTCGATATGTACGTGAGAGGAATGAAGAGCGACCACTCAAGGAGGAAGATGCCGAGCGTAGTCAACGCAAATGCCGGATCTCGGAGTATACGGATGTTTGGATGAACCGAGGCGTCAGGGTTTGGCGGCAGTCGTCTGTCGATGAGTAGGGTTGCAGCCCCGCAGAAAACGAGTACGATGAACCCGACGGTCCGAATCGCCCACGCCCAGCCAGCTCGTTCGAAGAGGGCACGGAGCATCATAGGGTATACGATGCCTCCGAAACAACCTCCAGTGGAAGCAATGCCGGTGGCGAGTCCTCTGCGGTGGTAGAACCAGTGACCGACGGCTGCGAAGGACGGCGTGAACAAGAGGGAGGCGCCGATGCCGTTGAGAACTCCGAAGACGAGCATGAAGTGCCAGAACTCTGATCAAAGATTATTGTCAGCTAACTAAATTTATAAGGTTCCAAAGGTCATAAGGAAGAGTAATTATACGAACGCGTAGAGATGCTCAACAACATCTGAGCCGCCACGACACAGACGGTGCCGGACAGGATCAACCACTTCGGGCCATACTTGTCAAAGACGGGGCCAATGTAGATCCCACAGAAGAAGCAGAGGAACATGTACATGGAGAAAATCCAGCCGATGGTGCCTTCGCTGTAACCTTGTAGCTGGTGGGAGCTGATGTAGGCGTGGATGGTCGCCACGCTGTTTGAGATGCCCAAGGCCGAGAAGGATGCGAACCAGGAGCCTAGCACGACAGACCAAGCTCGCAGGCCTCCTTCGGGGTATTCATCTTCTGGGTTCGGGATGGTCTCGTCGATGCTCGGGTTGTACTGCGGTTCCGGCTTCGAGTCTCGGTTTTCAGCCCTGTCGGTAGTGTGGTTCCGAGTCATGTCGTGGATTCCCTCAGGCGCGGCCTGTTTCTGCTGAGAGGATCTCAGTGGTTGAGACATCTTCAACTTGGCAAGTCGCTTGAGTAAACAGATGGTTTGGAGAGAAATGAGCAAACATCATCTAGAGACTGGGGGAGCTCCAACGAGATAAATAGTCTTCGCAGCCGAGTGATTAGTGACTCAAGCAACAATGGCAATAATCTCTTCCATTCCCCTAAAGGCAATTGTAATC